TATGGAGCCTTCAGTAAATTTTGATCTCAAATTTAATACTTTGATCATTAATTTTTCTGTTTATTAATAGAAATATTTTTCTTTTGAAATCTATTAGCAGAAATATAATTTAACACTTTGATCATATGGAGCTTTAATTTTGATATATATATATATATGCAATTGATTGAGAAATATTTATAGAATATTTTTTTTATTATAAATAATATGGCACGATGAAATGTTGCAGACATGTGTAATTTGGGTTGATTCTTCCTCCTCTGGCTGGCAAAAAGAGGTCGAGACAGTCCTTAAAAGTATCCAAGGTTTGTTTCTTTAATTACAATTAATTCTTTTTTTCTTAGCTTCCTTTTTTTCGAATAATAAGTACGAATAAAATTAGGTCAAACTTCTTCATGTCCTTATAATAACGGAGTAATTCTTTTACAAAATTCCAATGAATTAACGAAACTGTTTTGAAAATTTTAAAGTTATTCTTTGCTGTCAAATTATGCTATTTATAGAGTGTTTAATTAAATGACTTCAGAAAGGAAAATATTAATGATCTTCCTTAGAGATTGGATTTGAACAAAGTTTTGTTTATCGAATCCGAAGATGACTGAATTCGAAATGACCCCTTAAAATGGAAAATAATGTAATAAATATAAGTTTATGTTTTATTTTTTTTCTTTTACTCTTTTTTGGTGTACGTATAAACGTATATTTTGATACAAGTTCTTAAAGATGTCTTACATAGTTATCTTATATTTTTCAAAAGTGATGCATTTTAAATTTTTTACTATTCACTACATTGTTAAACATATCTAAAAAGGAAATAAAAATTCAAAATAAATATTTTGATAGTTTTAATATATGCATTTTGATACAGAATATTTTATTATTTTTCAGTGTAAAATGAAATTGCTAATATGAATTTAAATGTTCTTAAAAGAATTCTCATAACTCGTTGGATCGATCTGAACTCGACGATATTGGGTCTTGAACATGTAATTCTGAACTCGAACATGAACTTACCTAAACCTGAAGTAACTTGAATTTGAAGTGATCAAACCCGAACTCGACCTGACTGACAAATTTGCCAATTCTAGCATATGTATAGCAAGAAGATTTTTTGTTAATAAAAAAATCATTTCCCAAAGAAACTTTTTAGGTTTTTCTTTTTGTATCCATTTTTGAACATCTTTTAAAGTCAAAATATACGGAGTATTTCAAATTCCTACTTATTATTTATACATGGTGATTCCAAAATAAAATTTAGATTTCTTTTAAGAAACAATATATGTTCGTATAAGTATATACAGAATATATGTTCAATTTAAATCGTATGTTTCGGTTTACGATGTCTAGTTAAAGTTATTTTCAAATCATTTTATATGAAAAATGGTGTAGAATTAAAAATATCATGTAAAAAGTACATCAAAAAATCTACAAAACTAATGGTAATATGATTATATTATTTTCTCAAATGACTAACAAAAATAAAAAAAATAGAAAATGGATAAAATTTGATCATATAAATAGAGAAGTACTCCATATCATTTATTATCTGATAAAATAATATAGTTATAACATCTTTTGTTTTATAGTAAAGCCCTAAAGCTTTGACTTAATTTTAAAGGATATAGATTTATTTTTATACCAATATTTACATAAATCAAATTAAAAAAAGATTTCATTTTACAATTTTAATTTTCTTTTATGTGATTTATTTGGGGATAGTGAGATTAATGAATCAATTATGATTGATAATTGTGGATTAGGAGTGACATCATTCAGGATGCACGGATTATCAGGAATGATAGAAGTGTCTGGAACAGTGGATCGGGCAAAGCTAATAAAAAAATTGGGCAAAAAAATGGCAATTGCTTGGTTGCAATCCGGAGATTGTTCTTCTAACCTTTTCATGGATCCGGCCGGTTTCGGATACGGCGGCGGCGGCCGCTACCAACACGGCTTCTATGGCGGCGCCGGCGGATGGAACGACGGGAGGTTCCTTCACTTTGACGGAAATACCCCGCAAATGAACAATAACCCATTCTTGATTGCGCAGAAGGGGCAGGGGCAAGAGCGTCATTATTGTTCTGCCGGAAGAAATAATGGTAATAATAAAGTGACTTATCGCTGCAAAGTGGCCCAAGCTTCCGCTCGGCTGCCGTCGCCTCCGACGTCGTCACATCCGCTCAAACTCGGTGGTGGAATTAGCAATTGTTGTTTCATGTGAACCAATTTAGACTTAATAGATACTCTCTACATCCTCATATATCTTTGAGAAATTTACCTAAATAGAACTAAAATATAATTAATTTTCAATATAGGACCATATGTTTTTATTTCCTAATATAGTACCTTTTGTTATTACTCCCTCTGTCCCAAAAAGTCTTTCCTGTTTACTATTACGGTCTCTCGATAACTCCAATATGTTTGCGTGTTTTCATTGATAATTTGATAAAATAAAATATTCTTGTCGCCTCTTATTTTGTAGAGTTTCGATGTAGTTTTTAAATATAATTTTTTTATATGTTATTTCCATACCAATTTTCAAATAAAATCATTTTAAAATCTACGTGGTTTTGCACGTTAATCAAAACAGGAAATTCTTTCTGGGACAGAGGGAGTATATCAAATAGTCATTATTCAAGTAAATGTCTATAATTATTGAACATTATTCCTCCCACTAGATCATTATTAAGTCATCATTTTTTTACACTTAAAATATCATTATTATTTCTACTTACTTTATTTTTTACTTTTATGCCCCAAATTAAATTGCATGTTTACTTTTTAAAGTGTCAAACGTCATTCACTTTATTTCTCTATCTTCGTTAGTAATTTGATAAAATTATATAGTATGTCACCACTAATTCTGCAGATCTTTTGATGTAGTTTTTTAAATACTATATAATTTTTAATTTTACGTCATTTTTTATACAAAATGCTTACACAAATCTCTAATATTATTGCCAAAGAGATTCTTCAAGAAAGAAATAAAAAGGGAGAGACGGAAGGCGATAAAGAACACAAATAAAAGAATAGGCGTGGGAGAGAATAAAATACCTTCATCCTCAGCGTGAACACTATGACTCCAAATTGAGTTCCAAAATGAGATTAACTTTTACACTTTTTCTGGCTCTTTGGTCATTTAAATGTGTTTATGGTTTTGTTGGTGCTTGAGATGACCGTTCTATTTAGGGGTGTGCATTATTCTGTTCGAACCCAAATCGACTCAAAACCCAGCCAAAACCGGACCGAACCGGTCCAGACCGGTCCTTATTCGGTCCGGTCTTCGGTCTTCACATTTTCCTTATTCGGGTTCCAGTCCGGTCCACCGGGTTTCGGTCTCAATCGGTGGACCGGTTACATTTTATTTTTTTAATATTTGTTTTTTATATAGTTTTCTAATATACTTTTTAAAGATTTTTTCTTATACTTAAAATCAATTTAACTTTAATACTGAAAGTTTTTAAAATATTTTGATTTTATTATTTAATATAATTTTTTAATATATTCCAATTCAAAATAAGATATGAATTCTAATGATATTTAAATATTTTTAACATGAAAAGTGTGAAAAAGTAAACATTATCTTTACATAAGCGATATAATGCATTTCAAATTGATGTATCAATACTATAACTTAAGTTTGTACTTTATCAGTAATAAAACTCCAATCAATAAAAAAATTATTGCAAACAATCTTATGAACAAAAACAGTGAAAAATGTATCCGTCTGTCAAAACAAACCAAAAACACAAAAAAAAAAATTACAAAAAAAGTAAAAACACAGTAAGAAGAAGATTATTCTATATGTAAAGTAAAAATTACTAACAAATTTTATGTAATATGGATAGAGGATATATATTTTATTTAAAGTTTAAAAAAAATAAAAACAACAATGTTTGAAAATTTTAAGTGTATGTTACACATGAAAAATTAATTGTAGTAATATTTTTTTACAATTGAATACTTTAAATTAAATAAATAAAACCAAATTTAAAAAAAATAAAATATTACATTTATTCGGTCCGGTCCGGGTTTTACCGGTCCGGTCCGGGTTTTACCGGTCCGGTCCTTACCTTAAGCGGTCCGGTCCTTGGTCCAAAAAGTTCCTCTTATTCGGTCCCTGTCCGGTCTGATCCGGTCCGGGTTTGACCCGATGAACACCCCTAGTTCTATCACTTACACGTCCACGAGTTATACGGAGGGAATTAGATTATTTTGGACAAGGTGGACACAAAATGTAGCGAGTTTACACAAAATTTACAAGTTTACATTCTAACCCTGATGAAGAATAACAATATGTACGTTAGGTTCGGTTTTTCGGTTTGATTTTTACACAAAATAAAAAAATGAACAGAAGTTAAGAGTTCAGTTCAATCAATTTTACATAAAAAAAAATATGTATCGAATGGCCAACGAACAAACATCTAAGAACTTATACGGAGAATTTGCATTTTTTTGCTATAATTCTTTCATTTTTATTATAAATATAAGAATTACACGTATCAAATTTTAAAGTTAATATAATTTTTGTATTAAAATTAGTTATTAATGTTTGTATGGATAGGTTTTTTAAAAATTTATAATATTGTTTTAAATATTTAATAGTGAAGAAAAATAAATCTAATTGACAAATCAGTTCTTTACATTTATATTTTTATGATTTATATTTGCATATCCTATATACTCATATAAATAAAATAAAATATCTTAAAAAAATTGGCTTATTCGATTAGATTCATTTTCACAAATTGAAAAATAACAAAAAAAAAAAAACCAAATACGGAGTAATAACTTATCAGTTCCCTTTTTTACATTGGCTTCAGATTTTTTGGATCCGTTTTAATTTTTTCAACCCACTTGGATTCCATTTGGGGTTTTAGGTTATCCAAACCCAGCCGCATTGACAGAATCTTTCGCACAGGATCACAAAAGTTGCGTGAGAGGAGAGCAAAAGGGCGAATGAGATTGAAGAGTATTACCGTCGTATATTCTCGGAAGCTAGTCGCCGCCGTTGGTTTTCCAGGGGACAGGTCCCAACTTTCATCTGGTTTGATTTGATGTTATGGTTTCTTCGTTTTTCGAGTGATTTTTGTTTTTGATATTGATTCGTATTGGTGTAGGCATGCGATAAATGGGACGGGATCACTTTTACCACTGAGTTTACCTCCGATTTCATCCCTACTGAGCTTGACAATGCTTTGAACAACAGCGAGGTTTGGATTCTGTTTCCCCATTGCTGTTTTGGTGTGACTGTTTTAATCAATTTTAGAATTTTGGAAGAAGAGAATATTGGCACAAAAAAAGTCACTGAATGTTTCAAACACAATATAATAAAGTAGGGAAACACAGCACAATTTACGCAGGATTTAGGTGACAATTAGTCCCTTTTCTTCTTATTTGTTGAAAGAAATGCAGCAAGACATGGTAAACAATACAGTGTGTTGACTGACTATTCACCATGTTCGTTAGCTTCCTCTTCATTTCTTCTATGTTTTCTGTTTTATTTTGGGGTGCTGATTTCGTCCCAATGATAGAGAAACTAGGGAAATGCTATTTATTTGTGCTATGATAATCATGTGGCATAAATGACTAAAGTCCTGTGTGAAAAAGAAGACTAAAGACTTCAGGAATGGAAATAAAGAAAAACAAGATTTTCTTGGTCTTATTCCTCAACTGTGTTGTTGTTGTTTTTGTTGTTGTTGGAATTTATTTAAGTTCACTGTAATGTGTTGCATGTGCAGCGATGATAAGTTAATTTTTATGTGAATTTGGCTAGGTTAAGAGGGTGAGCATGCTAGACAAAGGGACAGGCCCTGCTTCACCTAAGGAGGTTAAAGAAGAAGAAATTCATTTGGCCAATATGCATACAGGCACAACTATAATAAGCATCAAACTTCCAAATTATATAGTTGTCGCGGTGGATTCAAGGTTGAGCATTATAGAACAAGGAATATTAAAAGGTGATTTTTAAGAATTCAAAATTAATTTTATTTACTTATACCAATATCTAATTGTTATAAATCGTTTTGTTGTGCAGTTTACGATATCGGTGAGAAGCTTTGGGGTCTTCACACTCCTTTAGTTGGAACAATTGCAGGGCATATTCAACATTGCATAGAGGCTATTCGGCAATTTGAACAAGAGGTTGAACAAGGGAAAGTTGAATCATTGAGACAAGCCGCCAACCGGTTGAAGGAAATACTTCGCAGCACCAGTTTCATAGATTCAAACAATAAAAGTTCAGTAGCGCAAATCATCCTTTCCGGATTTGATGAGGGTCAAGTAAGTATTTTTTAAAATTAAATTCTCTTTTTTTTCATTAAATATTTTTTTGAACAAAACACACTTTTATTCATCTGATGAAAGAAATATCCAAAGTACTAAAACAAACACTATAAAATCTCTCACACCCTGCAAAACAGAACCAAACCAAAGGAGTAGAATATCTACTGCTTTGATGAACCCTTGATCGGGGTAGCCAACTAACCATCCATAATAAAATTGTCTTCTTATTTTTCTAGAGACCAAAAATTTTTGGAATTTCTAGTCTTGAATGTGATGACCTCATCGAGGATTATGGTGGCTACTTAGCGGGAGGGAGCGGAGGTGTTTATGCGAGAAGTATATTGAATAAAAGGTTAGTTATTTATTTAACATTTTATAAAAAGTTTTTCTTCCATTTTTAGCAAATATTTATGACATTCAAATTTGTTATGCTAGGTACCACCCCACCATGTCGGTGGATGATGGAGTGGAGTTGGCTCGAGAGGCGATGCATTGGGCAACCAAGAACGATATCTACACGGGAGGGGATGCAATCATTTGTTTGGTTAGTCCGTGGGATTCCATGATCGTATGGAGGGGGGACATCATGGCGTACTATAAGCCAGATTACACGCAAGCAGACTTTTTATATGCCGTGGATGATTGCAAAACAGAAAGCGACTTAGAACCTATGGATGTGGAGTAGAATATTAGAGACAAACACTATATTGCATATGTGGGTATTCCATCTTAGATGCGTTTAAGCTGTTTTCCTTTCTTTATTGCGTAGTTTGTTTGGTCATTGCAAGATTATTCTGCTGAGAAGAGAAGCCAGAGAGTTTCGTATAGAATTGGAGAGAAATGAAAATTTTAACAGAAATGGAAAATGGAGATCTCACATCATTTTTTTCCATATAGAATTGGAGAGAAATGAAAATTTTCCATTTCTGCCATTATTTCTCTCTACATCTCTTTCTTGCCCATTTCTATGATCTCTATTTCACATTCCCCTAAACCAAACACCATGTCAACAACAAAAACACACCCAGAAAATAACATGAGAAATATGGTTTAGGGAGGGTGTGTTTATGCAAACCTTACCCCTAGAGAGGTTGTTTACATGAGACCCCTAAACCAAACAATGAAACAAAGGTTTGTTAATGTTCTAGTTAGAACTTTCGGTACATTCTTAACAATGCTTACATTTGGTATATGGTTACTAGACTGGGAGTGGAAAGACATATACGCTGTTTGGACCTCCAAGTGCCATGGTTGAGTCCCCATCCATCAATGCGCTTCAAGGTCTTGTTCCACGTATTTTCCAGATGCTGTTTTCTAACCTTCAGAGTGTAAGTCTGCCTCGTTACCCATCAAATGTGAAGAAAGAAGTTTGCAGGTTAGGACTTTCCCTGACGCTTAATGCTTCTTCGTGTTTGATCATATAGGAGCATGGGAGTTCTGATTATAAACAAATAAGTTACCAGTGCCGCTGTTCATTCCTTGAGGTGAATTTTTCATTATACCCATAGGCCATAGCTGTTGCTAGAATGGGTGTCGAGGCATTTACTAACTTTTCTTAATTGACTGATGCAGATCTACAATGAACGTATTGGGGATTTACTTGATCCTATGCAGAGGGACTTGAAGGTAAAAACTTTCTGAGAAAACTTTTATTTCTTTCTGAAGTCTTATGTTTGTGAGATATGTATTACAAAAACCCAGTATAATCCCAATGTCTGAGGGTCAAAATGTATGCACCCATACAGCTCTAAAATATAGAGAGACTGTTCCTGTTAGACCCTTGATGCATTGCTGCATTTACTACCCAAGACTTCACTGAAAGTAAGAAGCAAATGAAGTTTAATGCGTCATTTTTATTTAGTCCATTATTTATCCGAAGCTAAAACATAGGCAAGTATGAGTATTTTAGCTTCATCGGCAATGGACATTGTGACATATGTATTAATTAGTGGCATTTATTTGTTTACGAGAATGATGTTTTTTGGGTGTCACAGATAAAGGATGATGCCAAGAATGGATTTTATGTTGAGAATTTGACAGAGGAGTATGTGAGTACACATGAAGATGTCACACAGATTTTGATCAAGGTGAGAAGCACGCCATCACATTTGACATTGCTTGGTTGAAACTTTTTCTGTTATAGGTATTTAATTTCTATTATAAACATTTCATAAGTGCAGGGTCTTTCTAGTAGGAAAGTTGGATCAACTGGTGTAAACTCAAAGAGTTCAAGATCTCATGTTGTGTTCACATGCATCATTGAGTCCTGGTGCAAGGTACCATCAATTCTATCAATGAGTGAATGCCTTGTGTATGAAAATCAAAGTGACGATGACATTACGCTAACACTAAGGCTCTGTTTGGTAGCCTTATCAGGCAGAATAATTTGCTTACTTATCTGCCTGAAAGGGAAGAACTGATGTTATGGAATGATTTTCGCGTAAAGAAGTGCAACAGATTCAACCATTCTATTGAATAACCCTTGCCAAACGGGCCTTAAGACTACTTGAATGTTTAAAATCTTGAAACATGACATCCATTTTAGAGCTGGCAGGTTTATATTAGCATGCCATGATCACTTATGTACCTTAATGAATGCTTCAGGAGAACTCATCAAAGTGTTTTGGTAGTTCAAAGACAAGCAGAATTACCCTTGTTGATCTCGCTGGGTTCGAAAGGAATTTACTTGAAGATGCTGGTAAGCAGTACGTTACGGAAGGAAAATTCTTGAAGAAGTCCACCTCACGACTGGGGTATGTTAATACTCTTTTCTTGCAAAGAAATCCTGTATTTTTCTTCTGATAGATAACAATAATTCCTTCATTTGCACAGCTTGTAATTGTTCTTCTGGCTTATTGGTGCAGGCGTTTGGTTAATATCCTAACAGAAGAGAACAGTACAAGAGTAGCTGAAGCTGTTCCATATAGCTGTTCCGGCTTAACTCATTTACTGAGAGAATCATTGGGAGGGAATGCCAAACTCTCTGTGATATGTACAATCTCCCAAGAGGACAAGTATGGAGTGTGTGTACTTGGATGACTTGAACAAGATTAATTTTCCTTTTATATAAATAATGATCACATTGGATCATGAATTTCATAAATGCAGGCATATGAGTGACACAATGAGCACACTCAGATTTGGGAAGAAGGTGAAGCTCATGAAGAATGAACCAATCATCAATGAAATCACAGAAAATGATGTGAATGGCCTGAGTGATCAGATCCGTCTGCTGAAGGTACTCCCATTTTCTTTTTCATGATGAAGCTGCTGAGTGGAAAACTGGAAATTCATCTAATTTATTCCGTGCGGGGTTACAGGAAGAACTGATAAGAGCAAGGTCCAGTACGAACAATGGATATTTCAAAGGACAAAGCACCACGCGTGAGAGTTTGAATCAGTTGAGGGTGAGCCTTAACCGCCCACTGATCTTACCCCGTTTTGATAATAATGATCCCAAGGAGGAGGAGAAAATCAACATAAATGAGGATGACATTAAAGAACTTCAAATCCAGATTGATAACATTCGCAATTCGCACGATGAAGGTAGCGTGATGAGTGAACCTTTTGTTAGCTGTTCAGAAGAAAGCGAAAGTGAAGAAGAAGTGTCTGAGAGGGAGACTGATCTCCAGGATCCTGTGTTCTCTGAATCCCCAAAATTTGGAAATGTCCAGAGGAAAAGCATAGTTGTTGCATCATCAAAAACTTCAGCAAAGAACAACGAGATCGATTTCCAAGAAGGTCTCAGAACTTCTGGATTACCACAAGAACCTGAGAAGGGAAACAGGAATGTCCAGACCTCTTCGTTGAGGTCGAGCAGAATATTTCCTGGACCAACCGAGTCCTTGGCTGCGAGTCTCCAAAGAGGTTTGCAGATAATTGACCATCACCAGCAGAACTCTTCCGAATCGATGAGACCCTCCTTCTCCTTTGACCATTTTGCTGTAAAACAAGAATCATCATCATCACAAGAAGAAGTTCAAGATAGCTGCTTGAAGACATGGATAGTTCCATTTAGCCAAAATAACAACGGCGATAAACAGGTAAGCAAAAATGTTCAATCCAGTTATGTGTGAATTGCAATTTATGGACTTTTTACCAGCTCCCCACACACTTGACAACAACAACAACAACAACCCAGTTAAATCCCACAAGAGTAGGGTCTGGGGAGGGTGTGTGTACACAGACCTTGCCCCTACTCGAATGTAGAGAGGCTGTTTCAAAAGAGACCCCCGGCTCAACGTCGAAAGTTGCATTGCTTGACTAACTGCTACTTCATTAATTAAAGAAGCGCATACAGTTTAGAGATCCATTTTGATTTATTCCATCACACCCCAAAGCCAAAAAATGGTGAAATTTTGGCTCCATCGGAGATGATGGAAATACACACTTGACAACACTGCAGGAATTTGAGAAAGATCTAAAAGAAGCACTGGAAAGAGAGAAGAAGCTTGAAAGTGTTTGTGAGGAACAAGCACAAAAGATCCAGAAGCTCATTCAACTGGTAAAATTCCCTACCATTCCATAGCTCCAACTGAAGTGCCATTTCTTTCCGCATATCACTAACATTGTATAGCTCATCTCAATCATGACAGCTCTCACAGTGCAAATGTGAGGTTCAGAAGAGTGATCGTGTTGAGGCCATGGATGATAAGAATGTGACTCAGCCAATAAATTCCCAAGAAAAGGTTTGTTATTTGGCCAGTTAACTCTTTTACTCCCATATTATACTATGAACAATTTGAAACTTCATGAATCTCTTTGTGCAGTTTCTGGAATGGAATGGTAAGGGGGAAGATGGTAATGAACAAGAGATTGTTAAAGAAATCCAGGGAGAGGTTGATCACAGTGATGGAGGAGGCGGTGGGACCCAGTTCTTCGATGCGGCGGAGAGGGATGCCCTTGTCAAAGAAATTGAAATCCTGAGGACCAAATTGCAAAAGGCACAGACCAGTGACGCCATTAGCATCAACAGATCGATTGAAAAACTGCGGCAATCGAGAGGCATCAAGAACAATGGCGAGAGAGAAGAACTGGAGTCGGAGAGGCAGAGATGGACGGAGATGGAGAGCGATTGGATCTCTCTGACCGACGAACTGAGAATCGACATCGAGACAATCCGGCAGCGAGCGGAGAAGACGGAGACGGAACTGAAACTGGAGAAGAAGTGCACGGCGGAGCTGGACGACGCGCTGCGGAGATCCATCGTAGGACACGCGAGGATGGTGGAGCACTACGTCGATCTCCAGGAGAAGCACAACGAGCTGGTGGAAAAGCACCGGCTGATCATGGCGGGGATCCAGGACATCAAAACGGCGGCGGCGAAAGCCGGAGGAGGCAGGAAGGGCAACCGGTTCGCCAAGTCACTCGCCGCCGAGCTGTCTGCTCTGAGAGTGGAGAGGGAGCTTCTGAGGAAGGAGAACAGGAGCCTCAAGGCTCAACTCCGAGACACCGCCGAAGCTGTTCATGCCGCCGGCGAACTTCTTGTCCGACTGAGAGAGGCAGAGGAAACAGCTTCGGTTGCTGAGGTCAGTAGTAAATTCCGAACTTCTCCAAAATTAATCTTTCATTTTGTTTTTAAATTTCTTACAGCAAATTCCATGGCGTTGCAGGAGAAGATAACAAAGGCAGAGGAAGAAAAGGAGAGCTTGAAGAAGCAAATGGAGAAACAGAAAAGAAGATGGAGATGGCCACCATGAAAGGGTACCTTGCTCAGAGCAGATTACCAGAAGCTGCTTTGCTGGGGAAGAATGAATCTGAATCAATAATGATGATGCTGGGTCACAATGATTCTAAACCCCATTCAAATTATGATCATGGTGATGATGATGATCAAGCATGGAGGGCAGAATTTGGTGCCATATATCAGCAAGACTATTGATTGAGCAAGACTATATATGGCACCAAAAGATTTAAAACATGTGGATATTATTTAATATATTTTTCTAATTTTATTATCTCTAACCTAAGTAATCTTCTCTTTTTGACTTTTTAGTCATATTTTACAAATTTGGACTATAAATTGTGAAAACATATACTACCTCGTCCCAAAAAGAATGTTACATTTCATTTTTTTGCGCATCACAAAAAGCATTGCTCACATCTAAAAATTCTAAAATTTACCATATTTGCTCTTTATTATAAGATGAAATTGTTTTGAAAGTTTTTTTTGGCATTTGAGACGATATAAAAGTGTTTTTAACACATTGGTTCCCATGACATTGGGAACCAACGTCCTGGGATGACCCGGGGTGCTCCGGTGTCCAGCTTGTAAAATTGACGGTTCCTACCCCCGGTAAACCCAACCACCCCGCCCCGACCCGAACACACCCCCCACCCCCTTCAATTGCACCCCAAGATGGTAAAAATTCATTTTCAACTTTTTTTTATTATCAACTACTACGTATTTATTTTTATTATAACTAGTATTTGAACCTGTGCCACGCACGGGGTCGAACAAAAAAATTTTTCGATTCTAAATAAAGTTTAATGCAATTTTTTTCAAGAATAAAGAAAATATTCTTCTCGCATGATATTTAATATCATAGAAAAAAACCAATGTGGAATAAATAATATTTGAGGGATTGATTGTGTACAACAAAAAAAAAATTAATACCAAATTTTCTGGAAGACTTCAGGGTATACAAAAGATATGTTCATTGTTCTTATTATTATTTAAAAAAATTAAAAATTAATTTTAAATTTTACCATTTTCTTTTTTTTAAGGAAAAGAATTTTAATATCATTTCTTTTTTTAAATAAATTTCAACCACATGTTTTTTTAAATTATTTTCATAAATTTATTAAGTTATTTATAAAATTTATATTATTCATCTTTACTTTTAACGAAAATAGTGTTTGGGTATGATATATTTTTTGGTTTCAAATAAACATCAGAGTATTTTTTTTTTACATCAATATTATGGTCGTTTATTTTTTTGCTAAATTCAAGTTGCTAGTAGGTTTTCAATAGTGTAGAAGTATTTGAAAAATAATATTAACCTCAAAGATGTTAAAATTAGAGGTGTGCATGAATACTTTTTATCATTTGTTTTCTTGTTAATAAAAATAAGCCATATGTTATGTAATAAACATTGCATTGGGGATCATATATATATATATTTTTGCCTTTTAACCTTCGTGGTATAAACACGTATATGAAAATTATTTAAACCTTTTTACCAATTAATATCTTAAAGGCCATCAATTTAATCGGCATCAATTTCTTACTCAGTATATAATATTTTTTAAATTTTACTCAGTTATTACGTGGCGTTGACATGTTAAAGTTTTGGCAAATAAACATGCCAAATGTCGAATTGGTGTAAATCATAGTCTCCTTTATTATAGTAAAGGATTATTAAATTTAAATATTTTCCAATAGTGAAATAAAATATAAAAGTTTTTAAACGCGATTATGCAGAGAAATATGTGTTTAACAAAAACGAAATTCAAATTCCATATAATAAGTGTTTTTGTTAACTAATTCTTTAAATATTACTTGCTGACATGGCATGCTGAAAGTTGTCTAATAAGCGTGCCACATGTCACAATCCTAGAAACCCAACTCTCAAATTTTATATATAAAGATTTATTTTAGTCCTACTAATCTATCCCTTCTTGGAATAAATTTGTTTGTTTTGATTTTTTTAATCTGAGTTCCTTGTTTAAATACTGTGTATCAAAATATATTATTAAATTTTAATATTTTCCAATAATGAAATAAAACATAAAAGTTTTTAAATGCGATTATGCTGAGAAATTTGTTTTTAACATATAGATTTGTCATAGAAATCTATTAACATATAGATTTGAATCTGTTTGATTTGTCTTAACATATAGATTATTAACATATAGATTATTAATATATAATTTCTATAATTTTTTAATATACAAATTACAAGATAAAATGGAATAAAGAAATGTATTGGATTGTGTGTAAAAATGAAAGTTGACAAATACTCTGGACGGAGGGAGTATTTATTCTTATTATAATTAGAATAGATTAGAAATAATTTTAAATCTAAATTTTTTAAAATCAAATTACATTTTATTCATATTCCTAAGTTTGAAACGTCCAATATTTTATTTTTTATAAATATATGCAAAAAGGATATAGTATGTGATGCACAATAGTCATTATTCTTGTCTATGGTTTGATATTTAGTGTTAAGTTTTTAAAGTCAAACTTGATAATTTTCCTATTTTTTTGAAAGGATTTCCTCTATATCGATATATTTGTAGTAATTCTCTTTTAAGTATCCTTAAGCATTGTTGTTATGATTAACAAAATTTGACGAATATTATTTTTTATAATATTATTATAAAATTAAATGAAATTGGGAAGACTCAAAAGAGAGGAAGAGAATATTATTATTATGAAAGAAAATAGACCCTTTGATATTACTAATATTTTTTATGATAATTTAATGAAGTGCTACTAGTAATAAAAATTATTATAAGTTCATCAATTTTACACTCTTTCATCTACCGATAATGAACGAAATAATACTCCCCTTGCTTTTCAAAATCAGTCGCGCTACGGGTACACCAGTGGTGTACCCCAATTCATACACCATATACACCCCCTCCCTCTTTCTTCTCTCTCTATACCCCTCCCCTGCTTTTTTTCTCTCTCTCTCTCTTCTCTCTCGCAGATCTCTCTAGCTAATTAGGGAGCGGGAAACTACTGGAAGACCAACCCTTCTCCCTGAGTTCCTCCTTCGTCTTCCTCGTTCTTCCGCAGTGGCATCACCTACTTCGCCTTCCTCCGTCTAGTGCATCGGTGGAAGATCCAAATTGGTGGAGACTTCATCCTTCCTTTTCTTCGATCTTCTATCCCTTAACCACTGTGCAACAGCAAACTAAAGGTTTTAATAAACACTTTTTATTTCAATTTTAGAGTTTTTATTTGTAAATCTAGATTCAAACATTCAATTCTAACCACAAGTCAATCCTTCCCTCTTGTGAAATTAGTCTTTTTTAAATGCTTTTTTTTGTTAATCATTGTTTCTCAAATTTATTCAGTCATTTAATTCTTTTTTTAATCTTTTCAATGGCTGATTTTTTGTTAAAAACTTGTGGTAATTGGGAATTTTTCATGCTTATTACGAAATGTCTGTGTAGTGCTTGTTATTGGTGCAAAATGTTAGTATTTTATTTAAGAGTCTGCTCAATTTCATAACTTGCTATGAAATGTCTATGATGTGCTTCTTGTTGGCACAAAATGTCTGTATTCTAAGAAAAAACTTGCTCTGATTCATATATTACTCTAAAATGTTTGTGATGTGCTTATTACTGGCGTAGAATGCCTGTTTTCCATTTCAGACTCTACTCAGTTTCAAAACTTGCTATAAAAGTTTTTAAAATACTTTTTATTGGATCTTTTATTCATTGTCTTGATTGCTACATTGATTTTGACATGTATTTTAAAGATATGTCAACTCCATGATATTGAATGTGTCACTAGTTTACATTGTTTTTCAGATTTCACATTGGTTGGAATGTTTTGTGACAAGAGGTCTAGATAGTTTATCTACACTGTCACAGACATTTTATGTTTGTGAAGAAAATCTTACAGACATGTAATGTCTATAACACATTTAACTGACACTATCATCTTCGCAAAAGTTTACAAAATATCCCTCAATCTGCTCATCTGATTCTAATAGCTTCTAAAATGTGTTCCAAACGAAGTGATATTTCTTAATTGTATGTTAAGTTTCAGAGTTGGACTCGTGTTCCCCTATGGTTGCTTTTGGCGTGGAAGATTGGAGATGGTTGCTTTTGGATTTCTACTATGTTAAGAACACATTTTGGATTTTGTTTTCACTGGTAGCTTGTAGAGGGTTGAGTCTTTTCTACTCACAAACAATTAATGTATATGGTTTAGCTTTCACAAACCGTAAATGTCTATGAATTCTATATCTAATTCAATGATTGTTTGTGACAAGATATCTTGATACTTTATATTCACTTTCAGATACATGCATTGTCTGTGAAAGAAGTCTTACAAACACGCAATTTTCACTCAGAGTACACAGATAGTAAATGTTTGTATTCAAAATATTACAGAACTTTAGTGTCTGTACAACTAAACAGTGTTGATTGTTATTTTTTCTTTTGTTTTAAATATAATTAAATTTGTGAAATGCTCTTGATACTCTATTATTTGGCATACTCTTTTGTTTTTGCTATTATAACTAACTCTCCTAGGATAACTTTGCTTAGTTAGTCATATATCCGTAGGACTCCCTGTATGTTAATACTTCAATTGTGTTGTACCACTTCTTTAGGCTATTGTAGTGGATCATATACTGGATCCCTGCCTAGCATCTCTATATATGTGATGTACCTATTTAAGTTATTGTTAAGTTAGCTCCGTAAGTTAGCAATATATATATCACAGATACAGATACATTGATTCGACACAATTAACATTAAAAAAAATGTTATATCTCTTTAATACTTTACAAGAAATACAAGGTAATGTACCATATAAACTACCTAAAGTAAAATATGTACAATGTATCTGTTATTTGTAGATAAAAACTACTTATACAAACAATTTTTGTCTAAGTGACCATAAAACATACTCCCCCCATCCCCCATAGATCTTCTCATTAACCCTTTTTAATATTTAAAATACCACAACTACCCCCACTTACTTTATTTATTACATCTCACCTACCTCATTTAATACACTCCACCCATTTTCATTAAGGGTATTATGGTAAACTTTGACTTTTTTTCAACTCTCCTAAAAAAACCGCAAAAAGTCAAAACGAGAAGATCTTAGGAGGACGAAGGAAGTAATAAATAATACTACAAAGAGCCAAGAATTAGATGTAGTAAAAAGGGGGAGATATAGTTACAATAAAGTGTAAGCTATAATATAGCACAATGAGATATTGTTTTCAAGAATGAGAAAGAAACAAAGCAAAATTTAATTTCCCTTTTCAATTCCACAATCAAAGCAAGCAAAAGAACTGAGAACATCCAAAATTATATCACACCCAAACTTTATATACAAAATGTTACATCCTTCAAAATTTAAGAATATAAAATTCTAGTGACATGTGATGATTTCATCTTTGCCATCACCAATATTGACTTCAATCATCCTCTGCAAGAAACAATCTTTCATCACACAACTTCAACACATCTTGTTAATGCTGTAAAAACAAAAAAAAAATATGAGAAGTAAATTAATGCATTGGCAAATTAATAAAAAATTTAAATCAAAACTAACAATACATTCCAACCAACATATTGACTATCTATGACTATGAGATTAACTTTTACATGCACTTAACGGTTTTAACTGAAGAATTTACTTAGTGTCTGTATTTAGGCATTTACAAATATGTAGTATCTGTGATTACAGACCTGCAGTGTAAATATTTGTGAGCTCCATGTATGCTCAAGAAAATGCAATTTAATCAAATTATTGTCTAGCTATCAAGAACAAAGAAAATTTATGAAGCAAACATGAAAGATATAGAACAAATTGAGTCCATATTGATTAGTATGGTCATGCAATATACAAAGTAATACACAAAGAGCTATTAAGCACACCAAATAATACTACAAAGAGCTAAGAATAAGATGTAAAAAGAGGATCATTCTCAAATGTCTGTGATGTGCATTTGGAAGTTACCAAACATGAAATGTCTATGACAAATATATCCCAGACACGTAATGTTTTGACAATATTGAGAATAATACAATATCGACATTTAAGTGTTTAATTAAAAGATTTGTCTATGCAACATTGACAAGTCTAGTTTCACAGACTTGAAATGTCTATGCGGGGTTTCTCACATGCGCCTCCTGAGAACAATAAAGTATTACTTTTTCACAACAATATTAAATCAAACTTCAAGTACTCACAAATAAATATTTTACATAAACAAAACATTGTAAGGCACAACTTTTACTCATATCTTAACGCAACCCAAATGGCATTTCTTGAAATTGCTTCATATTGACTACACTCAAATTTTTTTGTAATAGCCACCGCATCAAATGACAATTCTCCACAAACCGAATATTGGCCAGGGGAATGATCCTTTGTGGGAATCAAATAAAAGTGACATTTTAATTTTATGTGCAAAAACATGCACCTGTAATTAACCATAATCATGTAATAACTGAACAAACAATACTAAGAAGGACAACTAAAGAGGGTAGAATACAATCATATGATCCTGTTAAGTAAAAAATCAACATTTAAAGCCTATAGCTCGTAGTTCACATATTGAACATACATTTTACGCTTGTATCTAACACTTCACATATTTTTGGAGCTATTTTTATATCAGGGCAGAACTTCAGCTGTTAAATAGACATTTCGCTCTTGTGACTACCACCTCACATACATTTAAAACAATTTTTTAAACAGGGCACTAGTTTACATGTAAAAAAGGCATTTTACGCCTGTAATTAGCACTTCACATACATTTAAAACAATTTCAGAAAGTTATAAACAAAAATTGGAATTTATGAAGTAATGGTTCATAATCAAACAAAAAAATTAAGACATCATACATTGTGGTCATTGATAGTGACAATAACCTGAATTTTTAAGTTAGGTCTCTATTTATACCTGGTGAAGCTCTGATGGGAATTTGGCCGTCGAAGCTCCGTCCATGGCGGAAAGTTCAGATCGGATATTAGAATGGGCGAAGGTCTGATCCGCAAAGGTCAAGTCCTACCGACGAAGCTTTGATTGAAGACGCTCGGTGGGTTAACGGAGAAAAAAGAAAGAGAGAGAGAGAGAGAGGAGTTGGGGTGATGGGGTGTGGGGGTATTTCGTGTGGGGGTGGAGGGGTATATGGGGTACATCCGGTGTACATAACCGGTGTACCCATAGAATTATCCTTTCAAAATACTTATCTTTTATGTTTTTTTCTTCGGGGGTACTTTCTCGTTTTGAGAAGAAATCAAAAGCCATGCATTTCTTATTTAATTACTTCCTTTTAAAGTAATGAAAATGTGGGTCACTAAGTTTTATGTTATCTTAAATAAATTTAAACATTTAACTATGTGTCAATTTGATAGTTTTATTACAAAAAATGACCTAGCCTTTTTATAACCCACCAAGAGTGAGTTTTTTGGTTAAAAATTGTACGCCAATCTGCCCCAATTATAAAGTGTTTCCATATTTAATTATTCTAAATATATGGAAATAAGTCAAATAATAATCTTCCATTTACCCATATATAAATATATATATATATACACACACACACACATACATACACACACACACACACACACACACACACACACATATATATATTCGATGGGGTTTCTAGAGAGAAGGGGGGGAAGGGAGTTTTTCACCGGCGGTGTAGCGCTAACAACGCCGATCACTTCAGGCATGATGGTTTCCAGAGTACGCCGCAAAAGAATTGCAGATTTCCAACGAGTAGAACACAATCGACGGGTTGGGGAGATGCTTCTAAGAACACCAGAACCAGATGGCGGCCCAGGTATAGGTTTGGAAGGCCAAACTCTTTTCGTTACCAAGGTCCTTTTAGAAGCGATTCCGGCATTTCAATTTCAATTGAAAGCAAGGTAATTGAATTCCAGGCCTCAGACAACCTTATAATTTCCGAATCCAAGAATGGTAGGTCTAGATTTCTTTCTGTCTCGCGTTCTACTGCTCTTTGGCTATCTGAGTCCCTAAGCCACCCACCTTTGGCTAGAGAGGGCTGGGTAATTACAAAATTTGAAGGGCCTGTTAAGACAAAGTCCCACTGGGACTCAAACCATTTTGGATCTTTCGTTAGAATTAGCGCAGGAACCGTAGGAGAGATAGCTAATATTTGCATCCCAGTGCGACGACAATCTGAAGGCATTAGGCTTTTTGTAAAAGCACTGACTGAAGCTTTAAAAATACTAGAAGGGAATGAATCTGCTGTAAAGGTTCCGAGGAAAGAAGAAGTTTCAGATTCCCTAGATTTGATAGACCAGATGTTCCGGGTGGAGAGGATTGAGGATGAGCTGCGGTTCCCTTCCATATCCTCAAATCTACTGGTAGAAGATGTTACGCAGCGCTCTATGTTGCCTAGACACACAGAACAGGGGAAAAAAGCTGATCCAGAAGAGATTAAGGAAGATGAAGATGAAGAAAAGAAACTCCAAAAGTTATTTCAACCAGCTTTTGAGGCCTATTTTGAAACCATCTTCAAGACAGTGGAGACACAGATTCTAGAGGCTTTGGCAAGGACATTACTACTGGATCAACTAAAAATGGGACTTTTTCAAAATATGTCGGGGAAGACAATTAGAGCAACTCGAGAGACGGTGAAAAGCATGGAAAAAGTGACCCTTGTTCAATTTGAAGATTCTAAATACCCAGTTTTCATTTCTTGTTCCAAAGCTGATGAAAGGCTTGTGGAAGATTTTCTAACGGGGGAGCCGGCTGAAGAGTCACATACTAGTTAACCAATTGCAAAGTTTGGATAACAGATTAAAGGAAATACGAAAGATCCCCTTTCCTTTTTCCGTTACAAGCTTTTCCGCATAACGCCAAAACTCCGCAAAAGTAAAGTACCGCATTCCGCATTCGGAACTCCGCAAAACTCCGCATTCGGAGTTAAAAATTTAACTTTTTGTAAGTGTTTTGTTAAATTTTGTTAAAAACAATAACATAAATAATCCAATAACATGAAAAAAGCATATTGTCAAAGTAATACATCGCAAACATAACAAAGTCTAACATGGAATCAGACATAATATTGCTCGAAGTGATGAGCTTAAATTGAAGAATTGAAAAAAAGATCATCAGTGTCCAACGGCTTGAAATATCAATCATAAACTCATAAAAAACATCAATTCAATGTTACTCTACTTCACAAAAAGATAACAAAAAAAAAGAAAAAGAAAAAACAGCAACTTGACAATTATAAAAAGATAAAAAGCATGGACAGGCAGGACAGCTGTAAAAAGCAATAAAGCACCACCCACCACCCATCATCATCCATTATCCATCAACGCAAGTGGAAAGAAAAAGAAGACGCAGAGATTACCTTCGCCGGAGAAAGAAGGTTGAAGCCGCTGGACTGCTTGTTTAATTTTCTAAATTCTTATCGCTGAATTGCGTAAGCCTCAATGCGCGCACCGGCGCGTACGCCCCATGGCGTACGCCTTTCAAAGAATTGCGTAAAAAAGCCTATCGCGTAAAATCGGGATTAGCACCGGTGCGGAATTTCGGAAAAAGCTTCGAGGCGCGCCTTGAGGCGGGTTTGCGTTCCGCCTTTTCGAACATTGGAAAAAGGAAGCACTTGGTATTTGCTTTATTGTTTTCTGTCTTAAGTAAATTAGGGGGAGGGTCCAATGAAGCTGGGTTAGTCTTGCGCCATTTCAGGGGTCTAGAGATTGGGTTTTTGAAGGTTTTATTTGTAGCTTAGGCCTTCTGGTTTAGAGTGTGCCTAAGGGTTCTATTTTGAGAATGGGTTTCAGATTGAGTTGGAGCAGCTATTCCAACCCACAGTATATGGGAGCTTGTTTCTACACAGCATGTTTCAACTAGTGCTGCTTATTTTTGCAGCAAGGTTCATCACTTGTACTCGCAGGGTCCCAACTTCGTTTTCAAGTTTTGGACTTTTTTCCTTGAGTAGGATGCAAAGGATGCTTACTTGACGGTACATTTGGTGGAATCTTTGGTTATATTTTTAAACTACAGAAGGTGTTGCATGGATGCAGATGGGGAAATGGTTGCAGCTGTTTTGGTGTACATCCAGCTACTCTCTTATTTTTAGTATCTGGCAGCTTTCCTTTCCAGTTTTTTTCTTGGCAGTATCCTATTGTACTCCTTTCTTGGATTGGTTTTCCTTTCGGCTTGTTGTCGGGCTGGCCACCCCCCTATCTTTTCCCTTTTTCTTTTAATAAAACTTTTCTATATATATATACATATATATATATATATATATATATATATACACACACATACACGGTAAGTCTAAAATGACACCAGTGCTAGTGCTACTGGTGTCATTTGCTTACACCAGTTCGTTTGGAGTACCTACGGTGCTCCGTTTGTAAAAACGACGGTTCCTACCCCCCCC